CCCCCCCCCCCCTCCCTTTTTGTCGGGTGTTATCGTCATAGCATCAACAACGATCCTCTGGTCGAGCTTGTGCTAGAGCCGTTTTTTTTTCAACTGCTCTGGCCGCTCGACTTTTCTGAATTGAACGACAGCCGTGGCGACTTCCGCCCAACGCACACTTTCCAACATCGGGAGCTTACTTTCTGCGCACCGTTTTTTATTCTGTTCTTGTGCTTGATCCGCTTCACCCACAGGAGTACAAAGCCTTCGTGGCCTTCTTCGCGGAGCACTGCAAGCGCCGCAGCACCGCTAGGTCGGGCGTTCTCGGGAGCAGTTCCGGGGCCTCCCTCCTAGAGGCGCTGCGCTGGGAGCACCCCCCGCTCAGGCAGAGACTGGGGGAGGTGTCTGGGTTCCGGAAGCAGCACGAGAACCTGCGCGGCGTTCTGCAGACCGTTCTCAGCGACGACGATCGTTCGGCCGTGTCGGAGGTCAGTCGGTGTTGCCTGATGATGGTGATGATGTGTGACTCACTGACCGCGGTATGATTTTCTTTCCTATGTACGGCCGAACCCTGTGTCTTTGTTTTTCGTCCTTGAGTTGCAGCAGCTTTGTGGGACGCAGTGATATTTTGGAGACATGACTACAGCCGTTTTTGGCTCGTCTGTATGGTATTGTTTATTGGCTTTCCGACGATCTTGCGTTTATCGACGACTTGATTTTGCGGGCAACCGTGATATTCACCATGGTTGGGGGTATGCCGTGTTCCTGCCAGTGCCAGTCTGAAACACACAGGAAGGTGAGATGTGACCTCCAGAATAGATTGGATGACAACACATGCGCAGCAGTGTAGGCCTCTACCGTAGGCTGCGTTGGTACCACGCCCCGTGGACCGACTTGTCAAAACTCGACCACTTTTCAGCAAAACCAGCGACGTTGGCGAAAAATAGCAGCATTGGAACCGTCTCGTCCGGAGCCTCCCGATAGATCATCGTTCGATATCAACACCCGCTTCGTCGCGGAGCGATGGACCAGAGGGCAAGGAGGGTATCTCACGGCACCCTACCCCGTACTTTCTGGTTTTTTTTTGTTTCACAGGTGGACGAAGCCTACGCCCGGTTGCCGGGCTCAGACGTGCTCGACCTTGGGGCGGAAGGTGCCAGGAGATGGGCGGAGGCGAGGGAGGCCTACGACAGGAGGGTGGACGGGCTGGAAGCCAGGGTGTCGGCTCTGCTGGAGGGAAGGCTTAGGGCAGCCCGAACGGCGGAGGAGATGTTCCGCGTTTTCGCTAAATTTAACCCGCTCTTCGTGCGGCCAAGGTATGATTCATGAGTCCACGTGTGTTTTGTGTCTTAAGTTCATTAGTGGCATCGACAGGTGCTAGCCGGCTGACCAATGGAAAGACGTCAGTCTCAGTGGCTACTAACGGAACACGCTTGTAATTAATGGTCATGATCTGGGGTCGCAGGGAAGACTGTGCTGTATGTGTGTGTCGTTGTGAATCTGTCTCTCGATGACTTGCACGAAAAAAGGCGGTCCCTTGCATGGCATGTGGTGGCATGGCATGCGTGGCGAGGAACCTACGTGGGCGCTGTTGCGATACACTCAGCGCCCGCACTTGAGAACCCAGGAGTCAAGAAATTGAGAAGTTGAACCTCAAAAAAGTCATCAGTTAAGAACTTGAGCACCATTGTGAGCTCCGTCGTGAACCCCTGCACTAAAACATTCGGAGCATGACCCTAGAAACTTGGAGAACCCCAGCCTCTGCCGAAACTAAATGTTGTTGAGTGCGGGCGCGTTCTGTTTTTTCACCTCTTTTCGTCTTCGCGAAGCCCCCATCCGCTCTCTCTGTCTCTCTCTCTCTCTCTCTCTCTCTCTCTCTCTCTCTCTCTCTCTGCGCCAAAGGGTTTATGGGTTCGTTTCGCCGCAGCCGCGACGGGTATGTTGTTGAGCGTGCAACATGCACAGTAGTTGTGTTGTGGGTGCTGCTCTACCTCTGTGTTCATGACCGTGGGCTAGACATACAAAGCGCTTTTGGAAAGTGGTGCCCTCGTACGCTGGCAGAGCTTCACACGAAGGTGTTCGTTCATGCTTCGAGGTGCCAACATGCCCCTTGGCTTTCCTCCCCTGGGTGCGACCGTGCTCTATGCCGCTGGCACCGTACGTGTTATGTCAGGATTCGGGCGTCCATCGCCCAGTTCCAGCAGGAACTGATTGGGCACGTGAGGGAAGCCGTGTCAGCGATTCAGGACAAGTTCAGGCATCGATACGAGGTGCGACTACTGATAAGCGTGAGCTAATCTTGCGTGTGCGTACCGCCGCTTTGTTCCATCTCCCGTTTTTGCACATTTTGGTTTTCCGGGACGAAGACCGTCAAGAGTTTGCTCCCATTCACGCACACTTGCACTTTTCTAGCCTTGTCGGTGCATCTCAAGGCGCTGCTACGAGCGGCCTATCACGCATCATGCCCACAGTTCGCCTCTCACTGCCTTGCTTTCGAGTGCCATGCTCTTCGACAGGGCACGTGTGCTCTTTCTTGCTTTCGTCAGCACGTTCAGCGGCAACGGGAATGGCGTATAATAGTTGAGAGGTACCCTCGTTCCCACAGCGCTGGCTTGCTCGCTGAGCCCCCTTGCCAAAGTGCACACATCACGTTCGCTTGTTGTGCTACCACTTAATGGAAGCCTCGAATTTGTCTAATACCAACGCCTCCGAACCCCCCGTTGTGGGTCCAACGCTTTCCCTCTTGGGCTTAGCCGTCGGTAGACCTCCTGTCTAACAACGCCTGCAACCATATTTCCAACAGTCTCGTCTCGCTCTTGGGCTTGGCCGTCACCTCCATCGGGCAGGTTTCAGAGGCGAAGGCGTTGGCGACCCTGAGGGACATCCCCCCCGTAGCCGGGAAGATCCTGTGGGCGAGGCAGATGGAGAGGCAGCTGCGGCTGTTGAGCACGCGGCTGTCGGACGTCCTCGGGGAGGGGTGGGAGAACCACGTAGACGGGCGTCCTCTCAAGGCCGTCTGCGACGAGCTGCTCAGGAACCTCGACACTCAGAGGTCGGTTTGATTCATAACATTTTTGGGGTGTGCTCGCCAGAAGCGCACAGCTGTCGGTTCCGATTAATGGTGTGATACCCGTTGACTTGCACTGGTTCTAGGACAGGAGTGCTGTGGCGATGTCAGGCAGCACCAGTACGGCAGTCGTTAGCTCTCTTTGGGGCGGGTGCCGTACGTGGCATAGGGTACCACAACCGCTGGACCGATTTTGAAAGCTCGATTACTCCACGACGAAGCGGGTGCAAAAATGAAACGATAAGTTTTCGGAGAGCTCTCGACGAGACGGCTTCAACGCCGCCGTTTTCGGCGCTGCCACTTTTCCTGCTGTCCAAAAATCGACCTTTGAAAATTGGCCCAGGGGGGATGGTATCTTATGTCACCTGCGGGTATGTTTTTTAGCCGGATTCACCCGCCTGTGGCGGGCACCCCCCTGATTCGAAATACTCCGTGAATACAGCAAGTTGATTTTTTATCTACCCCAAGAGCCCTATCTATCACGCGCAATAGGACCCACGACTGTATTGTGGAGAATGAACATATTGACGTTGTGGAAGGCGTGAGAGCTGCATGGATCGTAGTGCTCTGTCCGCGGGCGCTCAAATGGCAGTATGCGTCTGCTCGAGATCAGCTAGGATGTGGTAGCATGAAGCGACACGAAACACAACGAAGCACACCTCTTGGTGTTGTGCGTACCATACATTTTGACAGGGTGTACCGCCAGTGGATTGACGAGTGGTCGTCTCACAGCGAAGATGTCGTGCACGATCGCCTTCTACTCAAGGTCAGTTTGGCTTCTTTCTCCTGACACTGACATCATCGGTGAACGCGAGGACAACTGTAGTAGAACAATGTCAGGGCTTCCCCTCGCTGTCCATGTACATGTACTGTTGTTGGCGGAGCAGCCGAGATGCGTCGCTTGCGGCTGCCAATCGTTTTCAGTAGGAGACGTGCGGTTTGTTTGTCGTTTTCTTAGAAATATACTGAGTACATACAATCAAAGAGAGACTAGGCTTTCGAGATAATACACTGTCGAAGGAGATGTGCTGTGTTGAAGTCTTCGCAGTGACTGGGAAGAAAGCCGGCGGGAAACGCGGCTTACTTTTAGTTTGTTTACGCCTATACACGAATTTTGTTTGTGTTGATGCGTTTACTCCGTTGCTGCCCTTGCTGTTGCCGCCGGGGGTCGGTGCCCATCTGTTTCTTGTCAATTTCACTGTTTTGGCCAATTTTCGGTGATGTGATGTTTGCCGTTGTTGTTGCTCATGCTGCTGCTGTCGGTGATGACCTGTCGGTGATGAATCACCGCAGGTGGTGCAAGACCGGAAGGGGCACCCAACCCTCGCCATCAACTTCGACGACAAGACTACTCAGCTCTTCAAGGAGGTCAGTGGACCTTCGTTCGTCTGCTGTATGCATTACCCCAGAATTATCTTGTTCAATCTTCTCTTAGTTTTTGCGTTCAGCGTGTTCATGGTACCCTGGTTGTTTTTGACCATAGTACCTAATTGGCGTCAGCAAGAATGTCCTGCAGTACACTGCATGTGCATTTTTTCGTCCTTTAACTCTCCCCCCATGTAGGCAATACGCTGCTGAAAGCCATCACCAGGTGTGCTTACTTCAGCTGAAACATCAACCTAGGGGGTTGCATGCATCCAATATGCTGTACGCTACTTCTTCGTCTTTTTGCCGCGTCCATCTGAACTCTGGCGTTCCTTCCGCCGCGTGCGAATGATCTTGTGGTGTTAAGATTCCTGATTGCTAGTTCACCGTCCTCCCACTCACGGCTGTCAGGTGCGCCACCTCCAGTTCCTCGGGCTTTTGGTGACGGAGGGGGACAGCGCAGGTGGTGGCGTTTCTAGGATCCAGAGGATGGCCGCCAAAGCGCAGGAGCGTTACCCTACCGCCGTCGCCTTAGGAGGCATCCTCCGGACGTACTCCAAGACCAGGCAAGACGCGAAGGGGGGCGAGAGAAAGACCGATGCCGATCTTGTTTTTGCGTTAAACGTTCCAGTGTGTACGCTACCGTTCTCGGTGGGAAGGCTGTGATCGTAAGGGAGGAGGGCCGTAGAGCCTTTTGCGGGGGGATTGTTGTCGCCACGTGCTGTACTCTCGCGTGCACGGCATGGGAGAGAGGGAGAGGCGCCGATTGCCGCTTCGGTCGGCCGTGTGTGTGTGTGTGTGTGAGTGAGTGTGTTGTGTGTGTTTCGACAACTCAAAGTCTCTACCCTGAAGTCTTGTTTCCGTTTTCCGTAGAGGTTCCATGGTCTGGCTTCTGGGTGCTGCTGCCACACCGGCAATGGCCGGCATTTTTCTGGGTCTCGTTCACCGAAAACATGCTCAAACTCCATCATGGCCCGTGGTCAGCTGCCCCGAGGCAAGTCCTGACGCCCACGATCAAATCCAAAGCGGGGTGGATGCCCTTGAACCGGCAACCATATCGGTACCTGTCAAACTCTACTGGTATTCCTCAAAACCTATCCATGTGGGGATGCACCTTTCTGCTGAACGCGTCGCCCTCGTGCCACAGGGCGAGCTTAACCCCGGAAACGGAGCGGCTTCTGGTGGCCCCCCTCAAGGTGGTGATGGAACACATCTCGGAGGCTTTCAGTCAGCCCCGCAAGGCCAGGTCCGGCACCGGGCGTGCGAGCACGGAACGCATGGAGTGGGGCAAGAAGAGCCTCGGGGGCTGGGTGGCATCCCTCGCCGAGAAGGTGCGAAGTGCGTCGGCTGTGGGGGCCGGGATGTTGCGGTGGTACTGCGGCTGTGTAGTTTCGACGTGGATCGGGCAGGGCGCTTTGCGCGGTAGGCCTGTGAACTTCTTGTGACGACCTCGGTCAACTCCTCCACGCCGACGGCATGAGCGTGCGTGAGTAGATGTTCGTGAGTAGATGTTTTTTCGGTACACTCCAAGGCTTGCCGCCTTGAAAACGCTCGGGTTAAGTCAACCAACTCCCCGCCTTTTGAGCTTGAGAAAAGTATTGTTTCAGGACCATGGTGCCCGTAGTTCAAGCATGTACATACATGGGGGGCGTACACATGTTTTACATGCCTTAACCGTTCAAACATTGACCACGCGTCCTCGAGAGAATGGAGCAAACATGTAGGAGGGGGGGTTGAAACCTTCAAGACGCTTCCCCGCGTTCGAGGCGCTCAGTATAGCAGCCAGGCACGCAATAATCGGCAACGCACGTGCTTAATCCGTGTGTTGGTTTCTCGAATGAAACTCCGCAGGTGTTCACTCTCCAGGAGAAGGCTCAAGATGTGTCGACGCTGGTGGTCACCGCCGCCGAGAGACTGACCGCTCTCGACAAGTGCCCCTTCGAGGCCAACAGCATGGGGAGCGCGCTGGCATCGCTACAGGCGAGAGACGTGGCGGGCGTGCCCGACGACGGGGTTTGATTCGTCATTTCCTTGCATCGTTGCACCACCATGTGGTCGTGCTCGGTGGTAGGTTGAAGGAGGGTGGCGTTCCCGGAATGTATGGATACATGTCACCGGCAAGAGCATGTCGTGGACACTTGACAGGAGCGCTTCACGTGGTGCATCTTGCGCCTTTGCTGATTGTTCTGGCGTGGCCGTAGGGTGGCGGTGGCTGTTTCTTTTCAAGACATGACGCCCGCCTGTTGTACTGCATACAGTAGATGGCGTGTGAAGCTCGCAGCCATTGCCATACAGGTCGGTAGTCGGCCCTTTCTCGCGGTCTCAACACGACGAGTGCCGCCGTACCTGTGCTGAACCACGCGTTTCGCTGGCCCCTGAACCTAGCGCGTGGTCACCACCCCCAAGCGCACTACCGCGTGTCGAGAGCAAAACCTCGTGCAAGATCGGGTATTGACTCGTCCTCACCACGTTGGCGGAATGGTTGTTTTTTTTCTCTTTGCGGAACGCAGGAGGTGGTCGATGACATGTCTCTCGCCGGCTGCAGCAACCTCAACTCGTGGGTAAGGGGCCTGGACGAGAAGGTGGAAAGCGTGCTGGCGAAAAGGCTTGAGAAGGTAGGCAGAGAGCAGGAGTTTGGACCTTCTACCTCGCCTTCGCCTACATTCGAGAAGGGCGAAGAGGCCCGGGAATGTGTAAGGGAAACATGTTTTGACCTGCTGTACCTCGCCTCCTCTACCTTCTCTTTGAGAAAAAGGAAGAGGCTCGAGAACGTCTACAGGGAGCGATGGTTCGACCTTCTGCCCCACCTCCTCATACTTTCTAATGTGTACATGGAGCCATGGTTTGACCTGCTGCCTCACCTCATCGTACCTTCTATTTGAGCACCGCTGGGTGTTGATGATAACCGGCTCGTCCATCACACCGTTCTTCTATCTGTTCTTTCGTTGCTGTGGTGAGAGCCTTGGATTCGGCGAAATGCGTGCTTTCGAACCACAGCGACGGGTTGAGGTGACCTTGCATTCAAGGGCATTAGTTGGTTCCAGGCTCCCGCTCGGGGCGGCAGCCTTGTGATGACGTTGAAGATGCTCGTTACAACATGCGGACGCTCAGTGTCTAGGGTCTAGTCTACTTTTGAGAGAAAATGCTTCTGCTACAGTAGGCATTTATTTCAATTTTCAAGATACCCCACGTCACGCAAACCAATGCCCTGTGCCTGACGAAACTGGGACTCGAGACGAAAGCAGTGCCTACTTGACGCGGATCGCGTTTCTCGCAGGCGGTGAATTTATGGGTGCAAGCGTTCGCCTTCGACGCCTCCAGCGAGGACGAGGATGGCGTTGATGGTGATCGAGACGGCTTTCTTTCGGAGGGGGACGGGGATGCTTCTGAGCACGCGGCGGCTCTGCAGATGGAGTGCACGGTCCACGAGGTTCTCCTCAAGAATCAAGTGAGATGGTCGCCCGTTTGGCCTGCCAACATGAGAGTTTTTACTCGATGAAGGTGGTTGTTTCCGGTTGACACAGGGTAGAGTCAGGCTACGAGAAGGGTGTCTTGGTCTGACGGCGACTAATACTGTATCTCCTTTGTCTTGCACAAGCGTTGCGTGGCTGTTTGGCAGCTAAAAGTTCGCATTTGATGTCGTTTCCGGCCCCCACCCGGCGGGACTTACTGGCTATGAAGGTAAGGTAGCGAACCGTGAAACAATATTTTGTACCCTCGCTGTTGCGACCAGTACCGGCTTGGGTGTCTTCTTGCAGCTCCTTCTCAATGCTTCACACGCTCCTTTTGCCACTTGTTGTTGTTGCAGGTGCTCTACCTCTCGCCCCCGCTGGAGCATGCCCGCGCAGCCTGGATCCACCAGTTCCACGCCTACCTTCACACCGTGGCGGGCCTCCCGAGGCTACGCAGCAAGAGCTTTGCGGTGCTCGGGGTGAGTCTGTGTGGAACGATCGTGCCTCAGAGGCTCCTGAACATCTCGCGAAAATTGCAGTTGAGGTTGCTGCATTCGCTTTGCGACGGTATATAAAGCCATGTTGATGCACGTGTCGTGCCATGGAACGTGGTCAGCGGTAGATTCACGTCACTGCTGTTACAGAATACCGGATGAACCGCTGTAGCACGGCTTGTCGGTGGAATGGTTTTTTCCACGTGCACACGGCCCTTTCGAGATCCCGCCAACTTGACATCCCAAGGCGTACGGCAAACCCGGCAATCACATACGAGTGAGTGCATACATATTGTGTTCAATACTCAAAACGATTGTAGCAATGTCATGGTGGGGTCCTGGTGCCGTGAATCGGCCTTGGGCGTTCAACCGAACGCGGCTTTCTTTCGTTCATTCCGCAGGCGGGAGAGGGAAGCTCCGATTACCAGAGGGTGGTGAAGGCGCTACCGCGAGACACCCTCAAGAGGGCATACCAAGAGATTGAAACCCGTCTTGCCGAGGTACGTCTTTCCATGTGCAGGGTCTGTGATGCGATGTGTGGGAGAATACATCTGAGGGTTATCCGCCGACACCTTTCGTGTCCGTCGTAAACGGACGTGGTCTGGTGTGGTCGGCGTCCTGCCTGCTGCGGTTTCCTTGTTGAGGACCAGCGTACCATACGATATGTCGGGGAATTTTTTCAGCAGGAGACCTCGTAGCTGGAGAAGGAGCAAATCGCACGCAAGACCAAATATGGCTGATGTTGGTATCATCTTAAGCCTCAGCGAAAGGCCACAGAAAAGGCACCGGGAATGTGCACGCGTGCTCAGCGGGGCATAATGTAGAACGGCCTAATCGACGGCCCCCGTGGCTGCACAGGTGAGCGACTACGTGTCGGCGTGGCTGCAGTACCAGAGCCTCTGGGACATGCCGGTGTCGGCTGTGAGGACACGCCTTGGCAACGACGTGAGCCTGTGGTGCCAGATGCTGACCGAGGCGAAGGCCGCGAGGGCGGTGGTGGAGAGCTCCAGCCGGGAGAAGGCCTTCGGTCCGGTCATCGTGGACTACTCCAGCGTGCAGGCCAAGGTGAGCATGTGGGGGCGTAGGTATTGGTGGTGGAGTTGGCGGTGTTGTCCTTGTTCTTGTTCTTTTGTTCTACTGCTGTTGCTTTGGATGTTGCTTTGGATGTTGCTTTGGTTGTTGCTGTCCTTAGTTGTTATGCTGCTGCTGTCGCTGCTGCCACCGCCGTGTTGCTGCGTTGTGCCCGCGCGGTTATGCCATGACGCGAACACCTCTGGCATGATTCCGCGCATTTTTCCCTCGGGGTAAGCTCCTCCATACAATATTCAGGTACCGGCCTACACGCCTTTCGGTTTATACTGTTGATGTGTATTGCATTCTGCAATGGCTTAGATGGGCATGTCGCGAGATCTCCGAGGCCGACAACCTTGACATGTCCTGAATCCCGACGCTGCTCGTTGCCCGACAGGTGAACCTGAAGTACGATGCGTGGCAGAAGGAGCTTCAGGGGAGCTTTGCAACCATCCTGGCGGAGGAAACCCGGCAGGTGCGTTCGTTCCTTTCGGTTCCATTTTCAGGTCTGGGACCGCCGCGTGTGTTTAGAGCTTCTGCTTGCCGTGACGAGGGTGCCTTTCCGTTAGAGCTAGCTCCTCCGGAGTAGTTCTTGCGTCTCCTGGCAGAAGGAATTGGTGGAAGTTTGCTGTCCTGTTTGTTAGCCATTGGCGTGTCTTCTAAAGGGTATCCGGGTAAACTGTGGTGCGGCAGATGTGCAGTCTAAAGTTGCTCCACTTGATGCACTGAATGTTGCGTTACGAAACCATCCTCCCAAAGCCTTCAGCATGCAACCGTGGCAGACAGTTAGAGTAGTCTTTCGATAACCAACGCCCTACGATACAATATGGTGCTTCTTTTTCCACTTTGGGAGAGACTTGTACCTTGCCTTCCACGGCACTATGATATGCCGCTCATGTTTTCCTCGTGGCGGGCTCGGACGCCTGCACCAGAGCATCTTCTCTACTACTGTCGCTGACGCAACGCGTTCAGCGCTTGGCAGTGGAGCATTCTCACAGGTGACACACCCGCTGGCTCGTTGACAACTTTTGGCAGGCCCAGCATGTGCTGTCCGAGGCGAAGACGCGTCTGGAAGGCTCTATGCTCGAGGGCAGCACCGATGACGTAGTCAAGGGGGTGACCTATATCCAGGTACCGTGAACGCTGTGTGGGTTTTCATGGCGGTAGCAAATGCATGCCACGGGGGTGTTAAGCCGCCGTTGACCTCGGCGTCTTCAAGTCTTGGCCCCGTGGGGTGAGATCCCCTGATGGGTGTGAGGCTAGGTAGTTTCATCGGGATGAGTCACCCCCCTTCCGTACCACTTTTCGAGTACGAGCGTGTATCGGGCAAGAGGTGGCGTAAGCTTTTTCGCATTTTTTTGGGTTGTTGGTAGTTGTATTTCGTCGGGGCCTCTTCCAGCAGCACCCAAGGTAGGAGTTGGGGCCCGCCCCCGTTAGTGACATACTTCATTTTCTCGCGTTTGGTTCTTGCTCGAGCAGGAGATGAGGCAGCGGCAGAAGGCTCTCGGCAAGCAGACCGAGGCGCTGTGCCTGGGTGAGAGGCTGCTGGCGCGACAGAGGTACCCCTTCGGCGAGGGATGGCCGCAGACCTCCATGGTCGAGGCGGCCTACGCCGACTTCGAGACCATCCTCGGGCGCAGGTGCAGTGCGGGCCCGCAACGGGAAACGGGACGGATATTTTCTGAACAGTTTTTTTCCACAGACATTCGACGATAATTTGCTTTGTTGTGTTTGGGTGTGTTTTGTTGTGGATATTTTTAATTTTCAGTTTTAGGGACGCAATGATTTATGGAAAATGGCTTGGAATTTCACGCTTCATCAACTTCCAAATTTGGGTTAACAAACACAGCTCAGCCAAAGACCCTCCGCTACGTCCATCGGATAGCAGCACTCGACGGTGCTGACGAAATTGTGGAAAAGTTGAGCCTCGACCCGATGTTGGCGCTTCTATCATCTCCCGGCCCCTACTGTACTTCCCAACCCACCCCCCGTCCGTAGTCACGGAACCCCCGGTCCGAGGGAACGACCGTCGGGCACAGGGACGTGATAATTGTGACCATGGCCGTAGATTGTCATATGGTACGTACTCAAACCATATTCGCCCTTTTCGTGTTTCGCAGAGGCCGGGCGATGGAAGAGCGCATTCCCCTGCTACGCGGGAAGGTGGGGTCCGAGGCGAAGGGCATGGAGGAAAGGCTTAACGTCCTGTCCCAGGAGTGGGAGGCTGGGCGGCCACTGTCCAAGGACCACACGCCTTCCGAGGTACGGATGGCAATAGCGATGGCGTGGAATGGCGATATGTATCGTTGCTAGGAAAGTTTCGGATCTTACATCCCGTCAGTTTTGCGGAAACCTGCACTCGTTGTCGTCCTTCAATATCCATCCCACAGGTTGTGCGGAAGCCCAGGACGGTTGTCCTCCTACGTTGTTCATTCCATTCGGTTTTGAAAGTTCTGCTAAGCCCTCGGCACTCGGTACTGCTGTGGCTCGGTTGGAACGTCTATTGATATAGAGTACTGATAGAGTCTGGTGCTTTGTCGTTTGTCCTTCGGCATTCACTTTATTTTCTTCTCAAGACGAAGTCGTGGTGTCGCCGCTATCGACAGCGGCGGCCCACGATGCCGCTTGGCGCTATGATAATCACTGTTCCCACTCTGTGCCTTGTGCCATGTCGATGATGCCATAGGCGCTGGAGACCCTCGGCCGTTTCGAGACCATGACCGCCAAGCTAGAGTCCGAAAGCAAGCTCCTGTCGGCGGCCAGAGATGCCCTGTCCCTCGAACCCATAGAGCGGGACGTGCTAGGACCCATGCAGGCCGAGATCACTGACCTTCGGGAGGTGAGTTTGGGTGGGGCAGGATCAAGGTTGAGGTCTCGAGGAAAACTCTGAGAAGGTCGAGTTTGGACGGGGCCGAGTCGGGGGTGGAGAGCCGAAACACACCCAAGCATTCCCCGTTCTATTTGCTCCTGCTATTTGTGTTCTTAACGGTGTGAGTGAGCGTAAGGTCAGGGCACTCACGTATTGGAAGTTTCAGGTCCCCCGCACCGCATCTATGCTGCGTAGTATCCACTTTCCCAACCCTTTTTTGTTTTGCTAAAGGACCCAATTCGCCCATGGGTCGCACAAACTAGTACCTCCCCCTCCAATCACCCGAAACGTCTTCTGTAGGGACCCTCTCTGATCACGCATATTTCGCAGTTTGTTTTTGTCGACTTTGGGATATTTCGCACATGTCAGAGTTTGGGTCTATATTATGTTCGTGCTCTGTCGAAAGCTCGAGTCGAAAGAGTGAGGAGTGAGCAGGCAGCCTGTGGTAACGCCCGTCTGTATCACTCGTGTCGAAGGCGGTTGTGATGCGCTCTTATAATAGTTGCATTGTTCTTGTTTCGGTGCTGCCCTATCCACCAACATACTAAAAATTACCCCGAGAGCACGCTCGAGGAAAGTATCGACCCACTGGAAACCCCGCATCTACTCATGAGAAAATGTGAACCGTGTTCTTACGATCGGTTACGATTTCGAAACGTAAACGTCTTGGGGGCAGGTGTGGGACGCCATGTCGAAGGTGTGGGAGAGCATCTCTGAGCTGGAGGAGACCCCGTGGTCTACCGCCGTCCCCAGGAAGATCCGCAAGTCGCTCGACGCCGTTCAGGAAGGGATGCGCAACCTGCCAAATAGGGTTCGCCAGTACGAGCCGTTCGAGCACGCACAGGTGTGTGCCACTTGTCGTTTGTCTTTGGTTGATTTTTTCGTGAGTGTGTTTGTTTTGGCAGACATGTGAGTGCGTCGATTGCCGTGCAGGGCCCGTCAGCACAACCTGTCAGCACAAGCCGTTCTGTATGCCAAGTGTTGTTGGTATTTTTATGTGTGTGTGTTTTTTTTTTGCGTGCGTGTGTTGTTTCGGGCAGATACGTGGTTGTTTCGATTGCCGCAACGCGCAACATTCAGAGGTCTTTTCGAAGTAACAATTTTAGCCAACGATGCTGGTCCCAAACGCAAAACACATGGTGTGATGTATCGTCGCAGATGACCTTGCGGGCGAGGTCCGAGTCTCTGCCGCTGCTGACCGAACTTCGGTCTGAAGCTCTCAAGGACCGCCACTGGAGGCCTCTGCTTCGGCGTCTCGGCATCAGGGTGGGCTTCCAGGAGCTCAACCTCGGTCTCCTGTGGGGCTCCGCGCTGATGGGACATAAGAAAGGCATCGGGGAGACGGTGCTGGCCGCGCAGGGCGAGATGGCTCTCGAGGAGTTCCTACGACAGGTGAGGCGGCTTTTCGGTTCGCTTTTTTCTCGCCGTCGTGACCAAATTGTTGGCTTTGCGTAAGGTGTGTGGTGTGAAACCTTTTGTGTGTTTGTGCATCTCCTGCTTGCGGCAGCCGAAGGTTGTTCAGAAGCAGACGGTGAAGGTCACAATCGGCTTCGTTTCCCTCGAGCGCTCGGCTGTGGGCCTTCAGGCGTTTCTCTGCCAATGGGAAGGACGTTTTGGCAATTGCTTCCGAACTTCAGTCTCAGCTCAGACAAAAAGATGTGAATTTATTCCCGAAGGATGCAGAATGGTGATAAATAGTACAGCAGTGTCGCAAGTGTATACATAGATGTGAACTCTGAGGGTGGGCACTGTAGATGAATTTTTTCGGAAATGTGGTTCAGACCGCAGACGCAAACATCAACAGATACACCCCACAAGCAGACAGAGTGTAGTGGTTACAAGGCACGGCCTCTTTTCTTTTTTATTCTTATCGCCCCACTCTGTCCATCCTTTCCGATTGCCTCTCAGGTACGGGAAGACTGGCAAGGGCGGGAGCTTGAGCTGGTGTCCTATCAGGGACGCATCCAGCTGGTGAAGGGCTGGGACGCCGTCTTCTCCCGGCTGGAGGAGCACCTCAACGGACTGCAGTCGATGCGGGCATCACCGCACTTCCACGCTGTTCAGGTACGAACGAGACACCGGCTGCGTAGCTGCTTTCTTTTTGTAGTGAGGACACATGTTCCCCTCGAAAAGTTGGTGGAGGACCGCATCAGCTCGCAGCGCTGCCATGCAGCGCTACGATTTTGTCGAGTGCGAAGAGGGCCACGCTAAATACAGCGAATGCTAGAGACGAACAGGACTGGTTAAATATATTCCCGATTTTTCGTTTCCCGCGTGTATTCCTCTTCCTCGACGTGCACAAGTGACCGAGTCTTGGCCCACTTTCAAAAGGGTTCAGGAGCACACTTGGGCCGCACGCCACTTGTATGCTGGATTTCCCGAGGTATCGGTTTCCTCGTGTTCATCCGTTTTGGCGACACTGCTGTGGCGTCGCGCCATGCACGTGCGTGCACCGCCTACAATCCAAGCGCCGTTCCCTGCTTGTCCAGACGCTGTTCCTCGCTACCGTTTCGTATTTCATGGTGGACCACAATTCGTGCTTCATCGGTTCCCCGTTGTTGCTTATCTATAGCTTCCGCGTTTTTGATGACAAGATCTCCCTGTTTCCCTCTTCTTACTTTATGCGTGTAGGAGTTCCAAGAAGAGGCAGCTTTGTGGGAAGAGCGCTTGACCAAGCTGAACGCTGTGCTGGACGCGTGGGTGGACGTGCAGAGGAGGTGGCTCTACCTTGAAGGCATTTTCTTTGCCTCAAGGGACATCAAGCAGCAGCTTCCGTCAGAGTTCGCGGTACGTTTGCATGTGGCCTGCCGGGTTGGCAAAGCTGGGATTTTCGTGGTTTGTATGCAAAGCTGTGTTTGAATGTGCTGTATGTAACCTCTGTACAGCGAGGGCAACATATCGGTATGTTTGTTTGTAGCTGGTTTGGTTAGTATGAACGCAATGTGAGTGGAAGGGCATGTGGCAGCACCTGCCGTCAGAGTGGGCCGTGCAACTTTGTATGCTCTTGCAACTTTTCTTGAGTATTTTCGTGCGGGTCATTAATCCTATACCTAACCCGACTGCACTTGCAAACCCTACCGCATGTTGAATGGCTTGAAAGCAGTGCCACAGGACATGTAGGTGCTTGTTTATTCTGTTGTGGATGTTTTGTTGGATATACTGAGATTGGTGGATATTTTTGTCTCCTGATTAATGTTGTCTTGTCGTGTGTGGTTCCCGATTTGCATTTTTCTCCCTCCGCGACGACGGCCGCAGAGGTTCAAGTCCGTGGACGCTGAGTTCGTGCAGCTCATGAGAAGGGTGGCGCACAAGCCCAACATCATGGAGGTAAGAACGATACGCACGAGTGGCCGCTGAGGCGACGAATAGTCTTTGAGCACGACGTCAGGACACGTGTTCCCGAATCCGGCACGAAAATGGATGTGGACGTCTGCCCCGGTAGCAAGTTGAATTGTTCATACAAATCGCAAAGCGCGCCAGGCGCCAAAGTTTCATGCACCGGGGAAAGAGTAGTGACAATCGGCGAGGCCTGAAAGACGAGACGGGGACACCGCGGTCGCCCACGTCAGCCGTCTATCCATCAGGCTATAGGACGCGTTTTAGGTGGAGTGTAGACGCCGCGCCCAGGATATCCGCCGTGGTGTAGCAAGGCAAGGCACAGACGCACCCGTGGGGGTGTCTTTAAGCAAATCCGTTGGCGGCTGCGCGATAGAGGAGATCATGCAGATGTGGGGTTCGAAACCGTAGTCGATGGCGATGTTTTACACACGCCGGAGCTGAAGGCCTCATCCAAATCCAATACTTGCACCACATGATCTTAGGCCAAGAGCAAAAATACATGAGAAACATCATGTAGTGCGACAGCCATACGAACGAAACCAGCAAGTCGCGTTGGTAGGTTGCGGCGTACCCACGATATACACAAATCCACGACAACGTGAGAGTTTCATGGGGTGGGCACGAAGCGCCGTTGTCGCCCAAGGATTGCTGTAGCGGAAACTTGTCTTCGACTCCAGCCATGGCTGTTGTGCTGTCTCATTAAACACCAATAACTGCCTGTTTGGAGCTGCACTCTGTCGCGGGCTGTAGCGTTTTAGTCCCTCTCGTCAGCTGAGCTGTCGACGCTCTGTGATGACTTGTGGCCAGGTGCTATCGATGGAGAATCTCCTGCGGCAGCTCGAGAGGCAAGAGGGTCTCATGTCTCACATCCAGAAGGCTCTAGGAGAGTACTTGGAGGGACAGAGACAGGTGACAATGTTTGGATGTAGGCAGCTTGTTGTAAAGAAGCGCAAGAGAAGAATGTTGAGTCACTTACTTGTGTCGTTCACGAGTGAGCACAGGACGTGCTTTTTCTTATGCACGCAGAAGGGGGATCGCCTTTCTACAAACACATATGGTGCACGGAACGTACATCTCCGCAGATCCGTTTCGAGTGCCGAGTTCCCTTAAACGGAAGATGGCATTGCTCGGTATTGACGGGGCTGTACAGATCTTTTATGTCTAGTAGTGTAACACTCATTCTCGAATAGTGTTGAGAAAACACTCAACCTATACTCATATCATTTGAGTTGGTAAACAAATATTCTCACGGTTTGGTCTGAGTGTTATTTCTCGAAATACCCTGAGTACGCTCTACTGTGTACACCCTGAACATCTCCCCCCTCCCCATGCAGACGATCGTTTCGAGGACTTCAAACCCTCAAGTTTCGAGACATAATGGTTGTTTCGGGTTATGTTCATTTGTTCGCTTCCGAACAATTGTGTATTCTCGGAACCGACCTAGGTAGCTTCGGGCAACCTATTCGATGTCACAATCCTGTCGCGACGGCGCCGTGTCTTGTCTACACAATCCCAATCCTGTCCGATGCAGGCGTTCAGCCGTTTCTACTTCGTCGGTGACGAGGACCTGCTGGAGATCGTGGGTAACGCCAACGAGCCTGCAAAAGTCGCCCAGCACCTGGGCAAGATGTTCGCTTCCGTGGGAGCACTCAACATGCCAACAGGTCCGTCCATCCCTCCCTCTCTCTTTGTTCTGTCTTGGGGCCCCCCTTTCGTAGACATTCAAGTCCAGGGCGTATTCGCAGCAGCAATGGTTTGAGTATCCGTTGACTTCCGCAGACTAACGCCGCATATGGTGCGAGGGGTCGGTCTTCACGCTCTTATTAATGAGATGAGAACCGGCCCTCGCCCTTCGTCTTGACTTGAAAGCCTATCGTTGAAGGCCCGCCCACTCCCCGTCGCATGTCTGCCGCAGGCGGCGACGACGGAAAGGCGGGAAGCGCGCTGTCCATGATTTCAAAGGATGGCGAGGAGGTCGCGTTCAAGACGCCCGTAAACGTGGCCGACAACGGGGTAAAGGAGTGGCTCAAGGCCCTCGAAACCGAGATGAGGAGCACCCTGGCCTTGCTCCTGAGGCAGGCGGTGGCGGCCACGGGAGACCTGTCTACGTCCAGGGAGGATGCTAACGTGAGTTTCTGCAGCGTTCCGAGCACAGAATTTAGGCATGATCAATTGGGTTGTATTTTGTGTATAGTTTCTTGTTCTCGGTGGTCGGTTTCGGTATAATATCGACGGTGCCAAACCCGAGTTGCTTCGGAAGGGTGCTCAACTCAACTTGCTTCGGAAGGGTACTGATGGGTGCGCTGCTGTCCAGTCCACCGCAGCTCTTCACCCAACCCGGCGCGCTACCTACTGCTGCCCAACCAGCAGTTCGTCAGACTCTCTGCAATCAGGTGGCGACTCCCTCCACCCAAGCGCCTTCTTCGCTGTCGTATTTTTTCTTGGCAATGTTTCCCGTTAGACCTTCGTCGAACTGTCGACAAAGCCTTCACACGCACTTCTGTTTTTTCTCCACGGTCCCCTCCCGCCCCGCCAGACCTTCGTGGGGCTGTGCAACCAGTTCCCGGCGCAGATCGTGGCCCTCGCGGCCCAAGTGTCCTGGTCGGGCGCCGTCCTGACGGCCCTCAAAGCCGCACAGGCAGGTTCGCCCGGAGGGCTCACGGCCTGCCTGGAGGGCCTTGCGTGGCGGCTCTTGGCCATGTCGGAAAGCGTTCTGGGAGAGAGCCCGCCTGCTCTTCGGAAGAAGTACGAGCAGCTCATCACGGAGTTGGTGCGGCAGAGGGACGCCACGAGGAGGCTCAAGGTAAACGACCACATTCGTTGAGCACTATAGCATGGCGTGACCGTCGTTCGTCTGCTTTGTGTGTGTTTTATTGCCGTGTTTTTAGCAGCGTTGCGTCGTTCATCTGTCCTTTCTTGTTTTTTGTCGTTTGGGGGGGCTGCAAGTTGTGTTGCACACGTTTGCAGTGTGAGCGCGGACCCTGTACGGTTTCTGTTGGTTAGGTTCCAAGAATATATCTGGCCGTCGAGGCAACTTTTCCACACCGTCAGTCTGTGCGCACGGTGGTTCGCGTGCTCTAATTTTCGGTCAATGGTTGTCGATCTTTCTGTACAGTAGAGGTCCCTGTTTAGTGCCGGTTGAATAATGCCCGTTGCCGGTATGGTGCCGGTCAAATCTCGGCGCACAGAACCCGCCCTGAATAGTGCCAGATCGGCATATTCAGGGCTGCCCACTATAGTGCCGGTTCGGGCCCCACTGAACCCCACAATAGTTCCGGTTCAAGCACGCACGCACACACAACACACAAGACAGACACAGAGGAGAGGGTACACGTGCTGCTGCAGACCCGAACAGCTCTACGCAGAGGCGCACCATGCCATGTGCGGAAGGTGACCTGTGCCGCATACCGGACAAAAAGCCACAAGCCCCTAATGGCCGCATCTGCCGGGGACGATGCAGCGGGCGGCTCCATGGCGAATGTGGAAGCATGTTTGACGACAGCGAGCTGAACCTCATCTGCAGTACGTTCGTAGACAACACTGGCAAGCGCAAAGCGAGAGCAGCAGAGGGTGCTGGGAAGGGGCAATCTAAACGCCCGAAAGCACATGGANGCGGCTCCATGGCGAATGTGGAAGCATGTTTGACGACAGCGAGCTGAACCTCATCTGCAGTACGTTCGTAGACAACACTGGCAAGCGCAAAGCGAGAGCAGCAGAGGGTGCTGGGAAGGGGCAATCTAAACGCCCGAAAGCACATGGAGGGAGTAAGAACGAAGCTCGTAAGCGGCTGGACGTACACCAGAAGGTCGAGATCCTCAAGCTGGTGGATGCGAAGCTCTCTCAAGGAGAGATAGCAGACCGCTTCGGGTGCTTGGAACGGTTGATCCGCAAAGTGAAGGCCGAGCGGGAGAAGGTGGAGAACGAGGCTGCTGCAGCAAGCAGCGGCAGCAAGAAAAACATCCGCAAAGGAGATTATCCCAAGGTGCGCTAAAATGGTGTCAATCTGCTGTTGTTGCTGCACTTGTTTTTTCAAAATACTTTTTTCGAGGCTCGTTGTTTTTCGAGGCCTCCTCCTTATTTCGAGGTCAATCTTTTTGTGAATCTGTTCAAGCTCTTCGCTTCTCCTCCCTTGCATGGGACCCTTTTTTTGTGTTTTTTTGTGCTCCTGCGACAGAGCTGTCAAAAAAAAATCATCCGCACGCACGACTGTGCATGCCAGTATACACACATAACATACAGCGTGCACGCTTGTCGCTTTTTCCTACGTATTAAACAAAGTCTTTTCCTTCAGGGTGTACTTGAAACAAACAAGCCTCGAAAAAACAAAGCAATTAGCAGCTTAACACTATGAAGTACGAGGTCCAGCCTAAATGCGCCGCACTACGTTGGGTGCACGTAAACATCATATTCGAAGCTAATCATTGGATTATCTCTACCCTCTTGAAACTTGTGATGCTCTTTGTTTGACGGCAGGTGGATGCCATTGCTCTTGAATTACTCGAGAAAGCCCGGAAAGCCAAGATGTCTGTCACACGCAACGTCATTCGAAGCTTCGGCCGCTCCGCCAAGGCAACCCTGCAATAATAGCGGAGCCCACAACTCCTGCAGCAGTCAGGGCGAGGCTACAGGAATTCAAGGCCGGCGACAAGTGGGCCAGGAACTTCGTGAAGCGCAACAACATTCAGAGCACGAGACTTCATGGCGAGGCTAGCAGCGTCAGCCGCGAGGCCATCGAGGAGGGCATGCAGGAAATCAGGGCCGTCTGCGCGAAGTACCCAGCGGTGGACGACATGACGGCACAGCTAGCTGGGTCGCACGTGTCTCCCGGGTCAGAGGAGGAGGACGAAGAAGAGGACGACGAAGAGGAGGGGGGTAGCGACGATGAAGACGCGGGCCACGGGCGGCGTGCCCCACCGTGTTGCGCTGAACTGTGGTCTCACTTCGGGAACCTAGAGGCGGCAGCGGAGGAGGGTGGCAACGAAGACGCCGTGTACCACCTGTCGAAAGCGAGGATGGCGATGATCGCAGCGCATACTGCATAGCGGGCTCGCCAGGCAGACATGCGGGAATTTATCGCGACGTAGTGAGGGCGGGGGTTACAGTTACAGCGGCTGTTTGATTTCTTTCATGTCCCGTTCTTACGGTCGTGTTTTTTTTTTCTTGTTCTGGATACATCGAACGAGGGTGAGGAGACAACAGATTTAGCTTCCTCCTTCACCAATAGGTTGTGCCAGCAGGAGCTTTGCAAACGTGTTACCGCCAAAAATCCATGGGCTTCATGATCAGTGGTTTGCCTCCGCTGTCGAGGAGTGATGTTGAGGTTGCGCGAAATGGTTTGATACGTTTAAGGCCAGCGCCACGGCATTGTTGCCAACGAGATATTGGCCATCTATGAGATGCATCATCCTTTGCGATATTCTATGTGAAGGGTTTCAGTCAGGTTGTGCAAGTGTGCAGTACGTGCGCCGAGGTGGGTACAGCAACAAGGTGCAGCATTCTTGCCAACAATATATTGCCCATCTATGAGGTGCATCATTCTTTGCGATGTTCATGTGAAGGGTTAAAGTCAGCTTGTGCAAGTGTGCAGTACGTGCGCTGAGGTGGGTACAGCAACAAGTTGTAGCATGTGTGTCCCGTCCAGTTGACTTATCAAGCAAGATATGCGTGTTCGACAGGGCAGGAACCACCCCTATCTTGGCACAGCAGTCGGCCCGCGACGCCCATGCCATGATCTCACCATGTACGTTTCATGTGGTACTCTGTTGGCCCCGCAAAGCAAAGCGCTGCACTCTGAAATAACACAGTTTGTCAATAGTACCGGTCTGGCGCTATTGAGGGATTTTCAGACCCTGAATAGTGCCCCTTTGGCACTATTCAGGCACTCTGAAGAACAGTGCCGGTGCCCGGTATAGTGCCGGTGAAATTTTTGCGCACACCCCGGCACTAAACAGGGACCTCTACTGTAGCCCTTATTTGGCCTAGTTTTGTTGTTTTCTATCTCTTGACCCCCTTTCTCTCTTGTTTTTGGCGACCTGTTTGTCCAGGACGTTGGTACTGCCACGACCGAGTCGTTCGAGTGGCTGAGCCAGCTGCGATTCGACTTTGACCCTAAGGCGAGAGACCCTACGGAGGGCCTCACGGTCAGGATGGCCGATGCTCGGTTTGAGTACGGCTTCGAGTACCTCGGAATTGGAGAGCGGCTTGTCCAGACGCCTCTTACCGACAGGTACGCATTTACTTCAGGACCCGCACCAGCCCTGTTCTGCACACAGAAATTTGTCTCTGGGCAAACGCAACAATTTTCATCAGCTTATGCAGCAGGGAGTTCGTGACAGTTTGGTACTGCACCGTTTTTCGCACTGCTGTCTTACTGTCAGTCCAGTATTGCCATTGGTCTGGCGAACATTTAACAACAGCGGCAACAACACTAGCACCACGGATGCCGAAGTCGCTTTTTTTGGGTGCCCGCGCAGGTGCTACCTAACCCTCACCCAGGCTCTACACCTCCGCATGGGTGGCAACCCCTTCGGTCCGGCCGGTACGGGTAAGACGGAGTCGGTCAAGGCCCTGGGGGCACAGCTCGGACGGTTCGTTCTGGTATTCAACTGCGACGAGTCGTTCGACTACTCTGCGATGGGCAGGCTATTCGCCGGCCTGTGCCAGGTGAGAGGCGGGGTTGATGGCCGTGTTTTGGAGTGCCGCGACCCGGCCTGCGGGTGTCATGTTGGGCGTTTCCACCATCTCTTTGCCGCTCGATGAAGCAGTGCATCGCCTTTTCGTTATGAGTATCGCGAGCTGATCAATGCTGTGAGACGTGCCTCTTGTCTTGTTTTGATTTTTCTTCGGTCTTCGACTTGGGCTCCACCTCACGCAGACAGCTCAATAGCAAATGATCGATCATCTTGCAAAGTTGTGGTACCCTGACCTGAACAAACGGTGCTATGACCCAAGGAAAACATCGCTATTATTGTTTTCCAATGTTTTCCTTCGAACACACCCATACCGTCTACAGTTGTATGCATACCGTAAATGACACAGTTAACACCCCCCCCTGGACCGATTTTCAAATCTCGATTTCTCAACACCAGAAAGAGTCACGGCGCCGAAAACGGCGGCGTTGGAACCGTCTCGTCGAGAGCTTTCCAAGAATGTATCGTTCGTTTATGCATCCTCTTCGTCGTGGAGTAATCGAGCTTTGAAAATTCGTCCAGGGGGTGTGTTATCTTGTGTCATATACGGTATGTGCGGGACAACTTATGCTTTACGACGTCGGTAGTGCCACCCCCCCAATGCAAGCAAAGACGAAGCATTTTCGTGCTACAGGTGGGCGCGTGGGGCTGTTTCGACGAGTTCAACCGCCTGGAGGAGCGCATCCTCTCGGCCGTTTCCCAGCAGATCCTCGCCATTCAGAAGGGCTTGTTGGACCGCCAACCCAAGGTGATGGTGGGCGGCAGAATATGATACCTTTTCCTGAAACAGCAGCAGCAGAGGAGCTAGTGCTGAAATCCTATCTGCAATGCCTCCTCTCTACATGTGTACTTGCCTGCCCCGATATGTCTTCCCCAAAATGAAAAAATATGAGCAAGTTTCGCGTAAAACTATTGTTGTCCATCTCACGTTAGATAGAAAGATGCGCAACCTTTCGCGGGTTAGGCTTACCTGACTCTGCGTTGGAATGTGTGAGAGCCCCGATTGCCGTACGGGGGTACTCGAATATACTACGGACGGCGACGGTCTAAAGATGTGCTTCATGTCGGTGTGGCCGATACATACGGTATACAGGTGGAGATTCTCGGCCGCAGTGTGCGCCTGCACCCGGACGTGGGCATCTTCGTTACCATGAACCCTGGATACGCCGGCAGGTATTTGACTTCTATGTCGTGCTTGACTTTGTGCGCGCCGGAGGCGAAAGAGCCCCAAATCCTCTTGTGAAAACTTCGTCTTGCCCATGACCGTATATATGCCCTTGTGTCGAGTTATCGCGCCAGGATGCCACGCTATCAATGCGAAACATCCTTTGGTGAGGTTGATCTGATGTCACGTGTTTTTTGTTGATTATCTGGTCAGGTCCAACTTGCCGGACAACCTGAAGCAGCTGTTCCGTGCGGTGGCCATGGTAGTGCCCGACCGAAAGCTCATCGCTCAGGTGAGACAAGTGGAGGAAGTCCATGAGAAGATCGAGGCGTGTACATCCGTGTTCAGTTACGGCCGTGGCGCTGTTTTACGGTGGGTGTGAGCTGTGGTGCCATAGTACCACACGCGTAAGCTTTTGCTCCAGCTCGAATATGCGTTCCTTTGTTCTGTCCTGTCCTCGCCACCTCTTCCGAGGAACTGCTATGTATGCCGTTGTATTGACCCTTTGACTCACCTATTCTTCCCCCCCCGCGCGTATGAATAGTGGACCAAGTAGAAGAAAGCGATCTAGATGTAGTGGGGATCCAAGAGACGTGGGAATTGAAGGATGGGGACGTGGTAAGCAAACTAGGGAAATACCGGTGGGTAGGGAAGGCAAGAAAGGGCTTAGACCCGAAGAAAAGGGGGGAGGGGGGAGTCGGATTCCTGGTCAAGGAACACTTGTTTGACGTGGTGGAAGTAGTGGTGAAAACGGA